ATGTGTAGCCCGAGTGGCGTTCAAGCGTAATCCAAGTGCGCTTCTCAAGTGTAGTTCCAGTGTCGTTCAAGGTGCGGTTTAAGCGTGGCTCAGGTGTAGTTCCAGCGTGGTCCAAGCGACGCCCTTGTAGTTCAAATGGACTCCACATGTAATGCAAGCTGATTCGCCTCCTTTTACTACCAGTCCTACTACTACCACTACTACTACTACTAATACTCGTACTCCTACTCCTACTCCTACTCCTACTACTACTACTACTACTACTGCTATTTCTACTACTACTACTTCTACTAATTCTACTTCTACTTTCTACTTCTACTCCTACTACTACTACTACTACTACTACTACTACTACTACTACCACGACTACTACTCCGAATACTACCACTACGACTACGACTACTACTTCTGGCGCTGCTGTAGTTCAGGTGTGGCTCGAGTGTGGCTCGGGAATAGTCCTTGCAACTAACAAGTAATTCGAGCTGGGTTCACGTGTATTAAACATGTCGTTCAAGTATAATTCAAGTGTAGACCCTGTGAATTTCATGTGTAGTCCAGGCGCCGGCCGTGTAGTTCAAATTAGCTCAAGTTGAATTCACCTGCAGATCAAGTGTAGGTCCAATCTAGTTCAAGTGTAGTTGAACTGTAGTTCGAATGTGGTCTGTATACACTTCAGCTGTAGTTCAAGTGCGGTTCGGCTGTTGGATGTATTTTGAGCGCAGTCCAGGTACAGTTCAAGTGTAGGCCCAGTGTAGTTCAAGAGTGGTTCAAGTGTACTTCAGATGTAAAGCAAGTTTGGGTGAGGTGTGGCCTTTGAAGTTCAACGTCGTTCAAGTGTAGTTCGAATGTAGTTCCAAGGTGGTTCAAGTGTAGCTCAATTGTATATCAAGTGCAGGCCAAGTGTACTTCGCATGTGATTCAAATGTGTCTCGGCTGTATTCCATGTGGTTGAAGTATTAGTTCATGTGCGGCCCGCGTAAGCGCAGTTCGGGTGAAGCTTTTGAGGCCAGGGGTCGATCCAGACTTATGCACATGCAATGCAGGTGCAGCTGTATCGGCAAGTGCAGTTAAAATGCAGTGCCCATGTGCTCTTACTGCAGTTCACACGTAGTTCACACGTGGTGCACATGTAGTTTGAAGTGTTGTGCAAGGTTAGTTCAGGAATTGTTCAAGTGCGGTCCAGGTGTAGTCCTTAGTTTCCAAGCGTAGCTCAAAGCTGGTTCAAATGTAGTACACATGTAGTTGCAGTGAGGCTCAGGTGTAGTACAGGCGTGGTTCGGCGCAACCATCGAAGCGCAAGTGTACAGCAAGTTTGTTTAAACATTTGGTTCGAGGGTCGCTTCAGCTTAGCCCATGCATGGTGCATGTGTAGCCCAAGTGCAGTTCAGTTGTAGCTTCGGTTGCTTCAAGTTGTTCAAGTGCGGTGTGCTCCTTTTAGATCAAGTGCATGTCCAGAACTGCTCAAGCGCAATTCAAACGGTTGTTCAAATGTGGCTCGGGCGGAACAGGTGTAGTTCAAGCGCGATCAGGAGCTGTTCGAAAAAAATACCTCGGCTGCAGCGCGCAGCGAAACGCCGCGCGGCACAGCGCGGCGCCGCTCGGCGCGCAAGGGCGCGAAGCGGATTCCGATCGGGGGGGCGCCGCCCCGCGGCCCGGCGCGCGGCGCTGGAACGTTGTTCTCGCGACGTGTGCGAGCGCGAGTAAGTCATGGTGCGCGCGCCCACTCATCGCCACATGTGCAAGACAAGTGGCAATGCGACGCTGACAGCGCGCCGCATCGCGCTATCGCGCGCAAGCGCATCTAGCGGGGCGCCCCGCTCCCGCCCCGCATTCGGCGGCGGCGATTTCCGCGCGACCATCCGAATTGGGGCCGCTTCAAAAATGCCCGCGCACTCGCGTCATGTTTGCCCGAGCACGCTTTGGGCGACCCACATGGGGTCCAGCTGAAAGGGTGTGGTGCAATAATTTTGGGGCAAATTTTCGCGCGAGTGTTGCGCTGGGGAGTTGCATGGGACTGAATTGCAAGTAATGTGTTACACGCGAAAATACAACGATCCATTTGCGCCCCGGAATGCATTGAACGCCTCAAACGCACTGCAATACAGCAAATCTATTGCACCAGCTCCATTGCGCCACCCCCGTAGCGCCGGGCCCCCTTCCGGGGCAACCCGACGCGCGCTCCCCGCTCGGTCGCGGGCGAATTGGGGCCGCCTCGCCGTCGTGTCGCGGCGCGACGAGTGGCGCCGCGCGGCTCGGATAGATGGGCCACGTCGCAGGTGGCATGCGCAACGGGATGCTGCTTCTATATGTGAAGGCGCATGCATGGTCCCTTGCTTCGGTGATAGAACTGCCATGTTTCTGTTGAGGGGACAGGCGCGCGGGCCCGCTCTCCGCGATGGGCGCGAGCGCGCGCTGTTCCTCCACCAACGAAATAGCTCGCGCCGCATATCCGCGCGGGTCGCCTCGGCGGCCCGGGCCCGCGCCGCCGGCCCCGAACCACCCCCCCCCCGCCCGCGCCGCCCCCGAAACCGGCGAAACCTTCCCGGAGGCCGTTCTCGGCTGGAAGAGCTTGAGAACCTCGGGGAACAAAAGAAACTGCGAGGTCCGATCCCCGCGGCGGAACGTCGCGTAGCTCGGGGCCGTCGGCAGCAATCCTTTCGCCGATTGAGCTGATGGCGCCGGAGACAACGCCGAAGTCGACGCCTGCTGCCGGGCGCGCCGCGTGCGCCGAGGGCGCCGCGGCGGGGTCAGCAGCGACTGCAGCTGCAGGCGAGCTCGGCGCAGCCCCCCAGGCAGCGGCGGCCGCGCCGCCCCAACTCGATCAGGCCGCAGTGCCGCGGGAACTCTGAGCCTGATCTTGCGCGGGCGCACCCGCGAGGAACGCGCGGCGCTGGGTCGGGCGAACGGCCGAGGCGAGATTGCCCGGCGAGATCGCGCGTCGAAGCCGTCGCGCCGTTTGCCCGTCGCGTTCGCCGGCTGCCGGGCGCTCGCGGGGCAGGACGCGCGGCGGCGCCGCGAGATCATGGCGGATCGAATGTTCGACGCGCCCGCTGCGAGCAGCAAGAGGTAACTGAGCCCCTCGTTGCCGACCATAAGTCTACCATGCACTGCGCTCTCTTGCGGAAGACGTCGGCGCTAGCGAGGCGGATGTCGGCGCGCGACCGCGGCAATCGACCGGCGCCCATGAGGGCCGACGCCGCCCAGGCGCCCCCCGTCGCCAAGTTGGCCCCACCGTTCGGCCAGGCTGTGCGCCAGACAGGTCATGGGCGGCACTGGGTCGCCGTGAATTCGACCTCCCTGGGTCGGGGCAGCAGGCGGCCACTCGCCACGCGCTCGCGCGCCACGCTGGCGATGCGAGACGAGACCTAGCCCGTTTGGCGATACTCGTCGAGGTCGGACTTCGCCACTGACCAGATCATGACCTCCCGCGCCCAGCGTCGAACAAGCACGCGAACTTGCTGCTCGGGCCCCGGGCGCGGAGGTGCCGCGCGTTGCCGCCGCGACAACCGCCAACGTCCACGCCGGCGACCAAACTGGCAGCAACGACCATGCCCGCCCCGATGGCCTTCCATCTGGAGTGGAGCCCCCTCCAGGCATCGAAGAGGCGCCGGAGTCTGGGTGCCCGCCAACGGCGTTGCTCTGGTAGAGAACCTCGGCGCCGTCGTGGGCATCTACTTCCTCGCCCTAAAATTGGGCCTGCTCTTCTACCGCGCGATTGGGGGCGCGACCGGCACCCAGAGCACCTCGCAACGTACGCATGAAAATGCTTGTCGTGCGTCACGTCGCCACTGTGGGCACAACCTCATGTGCGATAGTCAAGAGGAGTCTGCATCGGGATCCAGGTCTGCCAGGGCGCAGGGATAGCGTGAATATTGGGGAAGGTCCTGATCCATGAGTCGAAACCAAATGCTCCCAGATTCGTTGCGTGGCCCCCAGACGCGATGGCAACCTAATCGAGCCCGGAACGCTTCGCCAGCGCCGCATATGCGAACACCCTGTCGAACAATTGTCAGACAGCCTCGGCTACGCACACAGGCGGGCGCAATGAAGGCGTCGTGTCCGCTGCCGCTTTCTCACAGGACTCATGCACCATAATCGCAGGGAGTCTGGGGCCCTACACCAACGCCGTAGACGTGAACGTTGCGTCATGCAACTGTCGGACGTCGGAGGTTGCATTCGCGCGCGGATGCGCTGATGGCGTTGGGCCCGCGAGCTGCTCAGACATAGTCTGGGCAAGCCCGGGAGAATGCGTTCGGGGGGGGGAGCGCGCGGGCTCGGCCCCTGGAGTTGATGTTCTCGTAGTGGTGGATGTACGCCCCCCCTGCAGTCGCTCCTGGCGGCTGGGCGGGGTCCGCCGCGGCGGCCCCGAGAGAAGCGTCGCCTGCCGCGATGGGCGGGTAGAGGGGCACGAACGCGACGAATGCGATCCAGCTCGATGCAGCGCTGGGTGATTGAACGCGGTGAAGTTGACGCTTACGTTGCGAAAGTTCCTTAACAGGCTGCATGACATGACGGAGCGCTGGGGCCATCGCCGTCGAGGGAGGGCGGCGAGTGGATGACATGCAGGCCATGGCGGCGCGTGGGATGGGGCCGGAGTTCAGCCACCAGGTAAAGATATTCAGGATGGATCGGGCACTTGTCAATGCCGAACGCGGGATAAAACGAGCTTAACACGCGACTAATACGGGCGCGGCAGGCTGGCGCCCCCGAGCCAGAATGGCGTTGGAAGAAGGAAACAATTAAGAGGGGGAGCGAGAAATGGGCACCGTTCGCATCCTTCTAGGGGGAGGGAGGGAGGGGGGCAAAGGGGCTATGAGGAGAACGAGGAGGAAGGTTGAGGAGGAAAGGTGAGGAGACCAGGACTGGGGACTTAAGATAAGGAGTGATCGCTCGTCAAACTTAGTTGATCCGTGCTCGTGGGGTGTCTTGGGGGCCGGGTTGGGGGATGGCATGATACCTCCTCTCTTCGTCGACGGGGCGCTCATGCCTTCTGCGCTCAGGCCGCTCGCGGGGCGGGCTGCAGCCAGCCCGCGCTGTGCGCGCTGCTACGCCGCAAGCGGCTGCTCGCGCAAGGCTCTCACACCACGTGGCGTCAGGCCCTCGCCATAGGGCTCGCCTTCTGCTTCCCGGGCGACGCAGGGCTGCTGGAGTGGGCCCTCGAGTCGCCGATCGCTGCTGCCAGCGCGAGCGACCCTCTCGCGCGCTACGAGCGCATCTCCCCGAGGCTGAGCTTCACCGAGTACGTTGGCCTGTCTATGCGCTCCGTGCACAGATGGAGTCGGGCGCACCGCAACATGGGCGGAGGCCACGGCGAGGCCCCCCTGATGCTGATGAGGCTCTACCCCAAGAAGAAAGGCGGCATGGGGTGGATCTACGTTCGGCCAGACCGAAGCTCGGGCTCTGTCGGCCTCAAGGATCGATCACGGATCACCGCCAGGCGACAGCCGAACACTACCTGTGCCCACCCCCCCGCCCGGTCCGCCGACGAGAAGACGGCGGCGATCGAGGCGGGCACCGGGAAGCAGCTAAGCGTGGAGTTTGGCGCCGCACGCAGGCGCCCATGGGGCTCTATGCTTGGGTGGGCCCGCAGCGCTGCAGTCGCCGCGTGGGCGACGTCATCGCGGGGCGCCAGCGGAGGCTTCATCGTCTTCGCATGGAAGGCTGCGCTGTACTTCCGCGCTTTGGGACTGGGCCAAGTGGACGGTGGAGAAGCTAGACGACACGCGCACATTCTTGATGGAGCTGGGCGACTTCAGGGCCTACCTTTACGACCTCTGCCAGGACGGTTGGCTGGAATTGCCGATGTTACTTCTCTCCTTCCTGATGGCCTTCACCCCCGTATTCTGGAACCGGCGCTGCCGCCGCGGCCCGCCGAAGTTTGGCGCGCCAGGGACAGCGATGGGAAGGCCGGGCATTCGGTTCACGAGTCGGATTCGGAGTCGGAGGGAAGCAAGGAAGTTTCGGAGATGAGGGAGATGACGCAGGACCTGATGGATGAGATGCACGGGGGTCGTCGAGACCGTCGCCGCGCAGAGGCGAAGACCGAGGGAAACTCAGCTCGAGGCGGGGGGGGACAGTCCTCGCCGCTCGGATGGGTCGTCTGCTTGGAGTCCTGGGTCGAGCGTGGGCAGCTGGGAGCGCGTCCCCTCGCCTGCCGACATGGGCACGCACGTCGACCGCATGATTCAGTAGTGTCATTATACGGGCAAAGTTTTTGACGACAAGACGTAATTCAAAACATAACAGCATAAAACGCAAAATGATCGGTATAGCGTTGGACGAATCGCGGCTGACCGAACGCGAGAACGCGAGCGCCCGCGCGATGCTCCTTGCTGCAAACTGATGCCCCGATGAGGACCACGATAACAGCGTTTGGCGCGAAAGGGCGCGGACCGAATTGCCTACCAATCGCGACGCTGCGATCGGGAACCGCCGCGCCAATGACAGCGGCAGCGGTGATAATCGAATAAACACCTTGGAGTAAGTGGCACTGCGACAGCGACATCAAAGGCGCCCTTGCGTTCAATAACACATGGAAGGTCGCGCAGCCACGCGCGAGCCCCATGCGGCACCACAGCGCGCAACAGCATGATGAACGCAAAAGTACACAAGCAAACACGATGTGCGCGCCTGCGCGCGCTAACCTACAACCGCGGGCTCGCACGCGCGCGCGCGTGTTCGAGGGCGGTGGCGTCGCCAGAAGTCGCGGCACGATGGCAACTGGCTGTGCAAGTTTGCAGGTCGCCAGGCGCACTTCTGAACATTCTCGGGGACGCAAAACCATAATGAAAACCGCGCTGTGCATCCAAAGCGACGCGATTACGCGAAACGTACTTTCGCGTGAGACACCGGGGCGGCGTCGGCAACGTGGCGGCGGGCAGGGGCGCAGCAAATTGTGCTGCGTGTCTGCAAACCCCGGCCTCCCCGTGAACTTTTGCGATCAGTACGGGCCCCCGAAACAACAGAGTTTCCGCTGCGCCAGGTATGGTGGAATAGCCCCTGCAAATAATCTGGCGCGCGAGTGGGCCAGGCAGGGCAATTATTTTTGCGCCGCGTGGGCCGACCGTGATTGCGAGGAAGATTACGCATTCGCGCAGGAGGATATCGATGGGCTCGGACAGGACCCGAAATTCTTTGATACCTTTTACGCTTTCGCCAGGCCCGCCGATCTGCCAGGACCCATGCTGGATCGAGGTCCACGTGGCGGCGCCCCCTCATGCGGGCGTACCCCTCGCGCGTTTCGTGGTCCCACATGGAGGTCCACCGAAAGCCCCAGTGGCATGGCCCCATGGCGGCGCCGCCCATGTGGGCGCACCCCTCGCACGGTTCGTGGCCCCACATGGAGCTCCACTGACGGCCCCAGTGGCAGGGTCTACATGGCGGCTGCGCCCCATTTGGGCGCGCCTTTCGCTCGGTTCGCGGCCCCGCATGGAGTTCCACTGGAGGCCCCAATGGCGTGGCCCACATGGCGGCGCCGCCCCATCTTGGCGCGCCCCCCGCGCAATCGCGGCCCCGCACGGCACCCGCAGCTGCGTCTGGTTGGGTATTTCGCCAGGCCTATTCCAATCCAAGTCCTAATAGGCCTTTGCGAGGCCCCGTGGGCGACCGCGAGGGACTCTCTGAATTTCTTGACGTGCGTGGCCGCCCGCTTCTCGGCGCGAAGGAGTTGAATTGCGTCGCCTACTTGCTGCGTCGCGCGCGGGGCGGACTTTATGAGCACTGTGCCCACGGAGCATCCTGCGTGCGCTTGCGATGCTGCTGGCGTCGAGGTTACAGATTGGAGACCAAAGGTGCCGCGATCACTTCGGCGCCCGCTGTGCGTGGATCCGCCGGGACACGTACTCTACAAGCAAATGCCTTTGTGATTTCGTCGTCATCTGCTCATGCCGCCCCCTCGCATCCCCCCCGCGCTGTTCTTGCCTTGCCCTTGCTCGCGTTCCTTATTGTTCTCCTTCTGCGTTGCGCGCGTGCGCCCTTACTGCCATTCGACCCGTCTGCCTTCCTGTGTCCGTGCGCTACGGGCGGCGCCCGGCCGACGAAAAAACGATTGCCCCGACAAGATTGGCCGACAAAAACCGACCCCCCCCCCCCCCGACGCCCCCCCCCCCCGCAAACAAAAAAAAAAAAAAAAAAAAAAAAAAAAAAAAAAAAAAAAAAAAAAAAAAAAAAAAAAACGACAAACCAAAAAAAACGACAAAACAATCGGCCCGACAAAATGGGCCGACAAAAAAAAAGGTGGCCCGACAAAACAAAAACTACGGCCGCGACAAAAAATCTGACCGACCCAAGAAAGTGTCGCGACAAAATCGTTCCTGGCTTTCGCTGCGGGGCGGATTCATGGTAATTTCACAGTTAGGACGCGCCCCCCCTTGGGCCCCGCGGCAATTTTGTCAGACGGTCCGGGTGGGCATTTTGTCGGTCAGTTTGGTGGGGCTGTTTGTCGAAGCAGTCTGGTGCGTCCACGAGGTCGCGCCGCGTTCGCCGGGCGATTCGCGGCCCTAACGGGAGCGCAGAGGCATCGCGCGGCAAGGGGGGGGGGGCATGGCGGCGCGGCGGAGGGGGAAAGAGGAGGAGGGGGATTGGCAGGATGAGGAGGAAGACGACGAGGAGAAGGAAGAGGGCAAGGGGACATGGCGGCGGGCATCCCCGACTTCAGCTTGCCCGGTCCAACCCGCCGGGGGGGGCGTCGTTCGGCCGGGGCGAACGCTGCGTGGAGCTCGCCCCAGGGAGCTCCCGGGAGAGATTCGGGGGGGTGTGAAGGCTTTGGTATTCCGATGTCTGTGGCAACCGCCGCCGCTATGCCTGCGCTGTGGGTCGCAAGCCTTTTGGACGTTGGCGCTGGTCTCGTTTTTTTGTGCGAGGGGATTTCCAAAATGCCTTGGGGGCTTTCGTGCAAAACTTGCAAGGCCTTGTGGGCGTTCTCGGCGGCGTCATGGGCCTTCCGGCGACACTCGTGGGAGCCTCGCAGGGGCGTCGCGGAGAAATCTGGGCCCTGCTGCGGAAAAGTTGGGGCTGCTGGTTGCAACTATGTTTCGCGGTTTTCCCTCGTATTCCACCCCCCACCCCTTCCCTTTATCACCCTTTCTTCCTCCTCCCTACTAGCTCGTCCACACTCCCCCCTGCCCCGTCCCTCCCCTTCCCCCTGCCCCCCTCCCCCCCTGGCCCCCCTTCCACCTTTCCCGCATCTTCCACTCCCCCTCCCACCTCGCCCTGCTAATGCGCCCTTCCTGCCCCGTCGTTTATCTTCCCCTCTCCCTTCCTCGTCGTCGTCCTCCTTCCTTCCTATTATCCATTTTTGTTTGTTCCTGCCCCTCCCTGTATAATGTCTATGTTTCGGCGCGCCCAACACATCGTTCCGCGGCCCCATAGGGGGCCCCACCGGAGGCGCCAGTGGCAGGGTCCACATGGCGACGCCGCTCCATTTGAGCGCACCCATCGCACGGCTTGTGGCCCCATCGGGATCTCCACCGCAGACCTCAGCGGCAGGTCCGCCATCTTGACAGCAGAGGGGAACTCTCAGGGCCCCTCTTACGGCTCTCTTGGGGCTCTCTTGGGGCTCTCTTGGGGTTATATCGGGGCTCTTTTCGGTGCCTTCCGAGGCTCGTAGAGAGCCCCAGGGCGACTCCGACAGGGCTCCAAGACGGGTCCTGAGCGCCCCCAGCCCCCCTCGACCGCCCCCATTATCCCCCTCCTTGTTTCCCGTTTCATCCGCGCCTTCCGCCTCATCCTCCTCCTCCTCGCCGCGTTGCCCCTCCCCCCCCATCCGCGCGCGCCTCCCATTCCATCCCTCCCCGCCACTCCTCCTGCCAAAGGAACCTGGCTGTCGCTTTCGGCGAAGCACCAGCGCCCTCGGCGAACCGCGCTGCAGCGAAAGCGCTGCATTACGCGAGAGTAGTAAGATGGCATGTGTCCGACATGATGCGCGGACGCCCAATGCGTGGGCCTACGCGACACGTCGAGGGCGACTGACACGCGCACGCGATACAATTCACGACCGAAGTCGGACAATTAGCTCCGGCGGCGCACATGCGGTGGGACACGCGTGCGTTCGGCGTCACCCGCGCGGGGTGGCTAACAAATTCGCGGCGTTGCGGTCAAAGTGCCATTGTGCCCAACATCGTTTCGAAGCGCGCTGCGGTGCGCCGCGTTAGCGCGCGTGGACAGCGGCGTGCATGCGGTCCGCGCACTAGTACGAGCGATAGAGTATGAAAGGGCGAGGCGCGGCACGTGCGCCATGAAAACGCGACGCGCGGCAGAAACAATTATGAGAAGAAAACTCGCGCGCTTCGCGTGCGTCCGTCGACCGAAATTGCTGAATCAGGGCAAGCGCGCGGCGACGACCGCATTTGTCTCCACCAATCAATAATTAAAAAATGCAAAACAAAATTGTCGAGGTCCTGGTTTTGCTTCCTGGCGGGGGAGGGGCCCGACATGATGGGCCGCCCGAACCAGTTCGAGAAGACCTTCCAGGCGGACCGTGCGCCAGGAGCTCGCCGCGCAATCGCAGACCAGACGTCGACGGCAGCGACGGCGGGCTCGACAGCACCCCCCACCATCAACTTGGACAAGGTCTCGATGGAGGAGGTCGGGGTGAACATCGAGCCGCTGCGCGAGTCATTGCAGGATCCAAGGGTTCGCCTGGTGGAGAACCTAACGAAGCTGAAGTCGGCCCCGACGTTCGAGCTGCCCCTGGGGCTGTTGGCCCGCGTCGCCCCCGACCTCCTGGCCCAGACCTATAGCAAGCATGGCAACTATGGGCAAGTTCGCGACGGACTGGGTCAAACAAAAGGAGCTCTAGAATAATCACATCGGCCACGAGATGCTCATGCACTGCATGACCCTGGATCGCATGTTGGAGGCCTCTCCCGACTTCATCACGGCGACTGGTTGCGAGATCCTGTGTTCGAGGGTCTACGCGCTGACGCGGGCGTTCAATGATGCGCGCGCGATGTCCGACTGGAAGCAGCCCCGCGGCACGTCAGCCAACGCCTGGAAGTCGAAGTTGCGCTGGGACCTGGCGAACGAGCTGGACAGGCGCTCCGCGATGGATGGGGGGGGGGGGGGTCTCTGCCGAGCGTCGAGAGAGATCTCGCTGCGCGGCCGCAGCAGAAGGCGCCGTTCCAAAAGTACCTGCACAAGGCGGGCTCCGAGGGCGCCAAGGAGGAGGAGGAGAAGGACTGACGGCTTTCTGCGTGGGCGTTTCCGCCGAGGCCGAGCTCCCTTGGCGCTGGGCGCGGGTGCTGGCGCTCCGGTGCTCCGTCTGCTTCGACAGCGGCCTCGTGCGCGGGCAAAACCTACGCTCGGCGGTCTTGGTGGAGTCGCTCGGTACCTTGGCCCTTCGAGCTGCCGGTGCCGCGCTGACCTCGTGGCGTCTGGTTGCTTGCATCTTTCTCTTCAGTTTCACTGCCCTGGCCATGGCGACGTCTGGCGCAACTCCGCCACCAGAGGCTCGACCTCGCGACCGCGATCTTCTGCCGGACATGCCGCCGCCCCCTTGGGACGTGGCGGCCAACCGCATGGAGTGCGCCGCCGCCCCCCACGACACCATCAAGAAGGTGAGGTCTCCGACCAATGGGCTCATTCGTGTCCTGCGCTCCCTCTCGCGGGGGGCGGTGGGATCGGTGGCCGGGTTGGGGCCTGCGGCTCCGTGGGAGCGATCGACCTCTCTCCAGAAGAGGACGGCCTTGGAGCTTCTGGATTCGTGGGCCTCCTGGCAGGGCCACATCTACGACGTCGACGTGGACCTGGACGCCGCCGTCGAGCGCGTCCTCGCTGGCCGGTCCTCGCCGTGCGAGGGTGAGGGGGTCACCGAGTCCCTGGGCGTGGACTCGAAGGGTCGCCGCGCGCTGCCGAAGGGTGCGCTGTGCTCAGTCGACGTGGACGAGCTGGCGCTGCCCGCGCCTGGGGCCGCCCCTTTCAAGCTAATCGTCATCTGCCCTCTTGCAGTCGAGTATTTCTCGGACATGGAGAGCCGCATGCAGAGGCAACCAGATTCTGTTATGATGCGAGAGTTCGAGAGCCAGGTTGTCTACCGGGACCCCGCGCTGAAGTCTCGCGGGGCTCGCTTGCGCTCGGCGGGGCGACTCTGGAGAGGCGGCGTGCTGACGTTCACCAAGGAGAAGAAGGAGTCGGCGTCGCTCTTCGGGGTCATCAAGAAGTACGTGGGGTCGGAAATGGACGGCGAGTTGGTCGCGCAGCGGCGCGCGCGCGCGATTTGGGGCGCGCGGCGGGCCAACCTCCGCTGGGGGCGGCCGCCCTATGTGCCGGGGGGCCCCGCCTCATTCACGAATCTGGACCTCTCCAACATCGAGGCGGAGGGGCGCGTCTACTCTGCGGTCGGCGACGTGCCCGGCATGTTCTACAGGTTGGAGACGCCCCCGCAGTGTTGGCCCTATTTCTGATTGGACGAAGTGGGCGTGGACGAGTTCGTGCTGTGCATGGCCGAGCCGGCTGTCGACGTCGAGGCGCCCGCCGACTCGGGCCACCTGGCCCTGAAGGCGCCCGTCGCGGGGCGGTCGTGGGCGCCGCTCCTGGCGCACTCCGCCCTGCAGGCGTGCATGGAGACGGCCCTCGGCGAAGGCTCCGTTCGCGCTCGCCTGGTGCATCGGTTCCGACGCCTCAGCTCCACGGCGACGCTGGTGGTTGCGAGGCGCTCAACTGGCCCTACATGGGCGACTGCGGCGTGATGGCGAGCAGCGCGAGCGCGAAGGGTCGCGAGAAGGAGCTGGTTTCGAGCATGGCGGCGAAGGTCCTGTCCTACCTGGAGTCCGTGGGCCTCGCGGTCCACAGGGAGGAGGAGGGCGAGTTGCTCGAGTCTCTGGGAGCTGTCCTGAGGGGCCGTCCATATGTGATTGGCTCGTGCCCGTTGAGGACATGTCGTCTGGCCCTCGTGACCCTAGCCTTGGCGGGGGGACCCTACTGGACAGCGGCCATGTGGGAGCGCCTCGTCGGGCTTTGGGCTTGGGCGGCGGTGTTCCAGCGAACAAGCCTCGCCATCTTCGACCAGGTCTACCACGAAATGCGACGCCCTTCGAGCCCCGCCGCTGCATTCCGCCTGTCCGCGGAGGCGCGGGTCCGAGCTCGCCGCCGCTGCCTACTGCGCCCCGCCCATGGTCGCGCACCTGGAGTCGCCCTGGGCCTGCCGGGCTTTCATGGCCGATTCCAGCGAGGGTGGGGGGTTGATTCGCGCGAGGATTTCATGGCCGATTCCAGCGAGGATTTTAGGCCACGGGGTTGCCATCGCCCAGGCCACGGTGGAGGAGATTCGCGCGGAGTCCAGATACTGCGAGCTGCGAGGCTGGACTATCGCCGCCGAGGACCTCTACACCAACACCGGGGAGGGCGCCTGGCAGGAGGGCTGCGGCGGCTACGCCTACGATGCCGACGAGTTGGCGCAGGCCGCGGCCTCAATCGTGCGTGGCCCGAGCGTGCGCGCGCTCCGCTTCCGCCACCTCTTCGCGGGGGTTCGGCGGCCAGGGGGCCTCGAGGAGCACCTGCGGTGGCGGGCGGAGAGCGCTGGCATCCTCATCGAGGTCTGGCCCCTGGATGCGGTCATCGATCCGAAGCGCGACTTCACCGACCCCGAGCTTCTGGGCGTCATCGTGAAGCCTGTCGACAGGGGCTACTTCCATGGGGCGTTGGCATCACCCCCCTGCTCGACCTGGAGCCGCGCCCGCTTTCGAGGTCATGGGCCCCGTCCTCTGCGCACGCGTGCGGAGCCGTGGGGGCGCGCAGACATCGGGCTGACCTCGTGGGAGCGGCGGCTCGGGCTGGGCACTAAGTCGCTCATGACGGCGCTGACGGTGATCCGCGCGGTCTGCCCGTCAGAGCGCCCGTCCGACCCAGGGGGGCCGCCCTGCCCGTCGATCTGGGACCCCGTGGAGTTGAAGGACCTCGTCAAGGACTTTGGAGGATGGGTCAACTACCTGGACCAGTGCCGCCACGGCGCCCCCTCCATGAATCCGACCATGGTCGGCATCTTCGGCGCATTCGACAGGAGTGGCGGGGGCGCCGCCGCTCGGCTCTGCCTCGCCTGCCACCGCGAGGAACGCCATCGGGTTACGCTCGAAAGCCGAGAGGAGCCAGGAGGTCCGACCTTTCGCGCCGCTGCTGCGCAGACCTATCAGCCCGAGTTTTGCGATGCCCTCGGCGAGGTCATCCTCGAGGCTTTCTTGCACATGGGGGCGAAGAGGCTCGGGCCCGACGTCGAGGGCTCACTGCGGTCGCCTGCGTCGGCGACGCTGGGGCCATCGCGACCTGGGAGATCGAGGGGGGAGGTGCGACGAGGAGATCGGATCCGAGCGCCCCCGCTGCCCCACACCTGGCTTCCGCTGACGAAATGGAGACCCCTCTACTTCGGCAAGTGGCTCGGCTCCGAGCACGCCAACATCAACGAGACGCGTGCCATCGTTGGCCTCTTGAGACACCTGGCCAGGTCCTCGAGATCGCGGGGGCTTCGCGTCCTCGTCCTGACCGACAGCGCGGTGGCCTTGGGCGCGCTGGGGAAAGGCCGCTCGAGCGCCCCAGCGCTGTTGCGCCTGTGCCGCCAGGCGGCGGCCATCACCCTAGCGTTTCGCATCTACGGCTCCTACCGCTACGCGCCGTCCGAGGCGGACGCGGCGGACGGCTGTCCCGGGGAGGCTTCCTAGGGGCGGCGCCCGAGACCGTGCGAGCGCACGGCGACCGCGCGACGCCATCTGCTCCTCCCGCGTCAGGGGGAGGCGCCGCCGGGACACGAGCTGCGCGCCCTTGGCCAGGCTTGCGCAAGACTTTCTGGTGGCTGACGCTTCTCATCTTCGACCCGGTGGGGCGCGCGTCGACTGGCCGCGAGCCCCTGCAGCCCACGGGCGCGACCCCGATGACAAAAGGGGCCCCTTGGCATGGGATTACTACGCGACGGACCCGAGCGCTGGCTTGCTGGGCGGTGGCTTCACGCGCTTGCTCACGCACTCAGTGGCAGACGCCACCGCCGCGCAGTGGGCCCCCAAGGTACGGCAGTTCCCCAACTTCTGCATCCAGCGGGGCTGGCAGCTCACATCTGTGTCGGAGGTCAATCGTGCGCTGGCAGACTACATGGGCATCCAGTGCTACGGCGAGCGCAAGAGAGCGACCCTCGGCTCGGTGGTCTTGTTCGGCATGCTGGTGGTCTGGCCTGAGCTTCGCAACCAGTTGCCCCTCGCCCTGAGAAGCCTTAAGAGTTGGCAGAAGGTGGCTGGCACGAGCGAGGGTGGCCCACTCGCAGAGGAGGCCGTATACGCGATCGCCATCTACATGATCGAGCAGGGGCGCTACGTGGAGGCCGCTTGGACGCTCATGCAGCACGGCGTCCGCGGCCGAGAACAGGACATGGAGATGTTAAAGGTCGGGGGCGTCGCGTGGGACGGCCACTGCATGGCCCTGGCATGTGGCGTCAGTCTCGGGCCGCGGGGAGGAACTCAAGACGGGCACCAACCAGGGCGCCGTCATTGGGCGGGGCGGGGTCGCCAACCTAGTCCTGGGCTTACGTGACTTCAGGACGGGCAAGGACGAGAAACTCTTCGGCATCGACCAGATCCGCTTCCAGAAGCTCTGGCACCAGGCCTGCCGCGCGCTGGGCATGCCATGGGCGCCGCGTCCACATGGGATCCGCCACACGGGCCCCGGCGAGGACATTGCCCGAGGTCCCGCGTCGCTCGAGAAGGTCAGGCGTCGTGGGGGGTGGAAGGCACTGTCCAATGTCCAACGCTACTCCAATACGCTTGCCCAAACCAAGTTTCGCGCGGGGATGCCCAGAGGTGGTCCGTGACTCGGGCGTGCGAGCGGGGCGGGACCTGAAGGCGGAGATCTTGCGAGCCCTGAGGATGCGTCCCCGCCCGGGCGGCAGCCTCCCAGAGGCCCTCGAAAACGCCATCAAGAAGAGCCTCGCCAAGGACGTCGCCGCCGAGTTGATGAAGATCAAGAGCTCAACGGCGCGCAGTTCCAAGAAGGCCAACCAGACCGACGATGACGACCAAGACAGCCCTGGAGGCCTGTTCTCGGACGAGACGTTCGGGGAGGACACGGGCTGGTGGACTGAGTGATGGGGGCGCCCTTCGGGGTGGCTAGGGGGGCCATACGAGGGCGCCATAGGGACGGTGGCCTACGGGCGCGATCGTCACCCCGCAGTTCGATGCTCAGGCGTGGCGTCAGCGTGAGCAGCAGTGTGTCCTGGACGCCGTTTTCTGCGGCTTCGTTGGCCGCCACGACAGATGCAGAGTTCTCCAGCGTCGGGGGCACAAGTGGTGTTTGAGGGCGAAGCAAATCTCAAGAGCCACCCGACGCTGGCCGTGCAGTCGCCATCACATGCTCAGTTAATGTTGCACCGTCGGGGGCACAAGTGGTGCTTGAGGGCGAAATGTAGTTACCTCAAGAGCCACCCGACGCTGGCCGTGCATCGTTACCGCATGATCAGTTTTTTTTGGCAGCGTCGAGGGCACAAGTGGTGTTTGAGGGCGAAACCAACCTCAAGGGCCACCCGACGCTGATCTCAGGTTTTGCGCAGATCTTCTTGGCCACGTGGTGTGGATTTTCTTTTTCAGGTTGTCGCAGCTCCCCGCCGCGCCCAGCCCAGCTGCGACAACGACGGCGTTGCCAGGCAAAAGGGTGCGGGCATTGGAAGTGCGTGCTCACGATCGCGGCTCGTGAGCTGCGTAATGTACGAGTTTGCGATCGCGGCCGCGATACGACTACGGCTACGAGTACGAACGCGACTACGAGTAGTTAGCGACCACGACTATCATTACGACTACGGCTACGGTTACAACGACGAGTGCGGCTACGACTTCGACTACGACTCGGCGAAGAATGTGTCGATCAATATTGCAATCGTCTTCCAATCGTGCTCCACATTCTTCTGTCGCGCAAGGTAGCCCAGGGAACATTATTCGCTTGGGGGAAAACGCCCAAGACTATCCAGCACGGCGAACAGCAGTGGGAAACTCATCGGTGTCCCGTGCTTCCACTTATTTTGCCTTGCCTCTCCCCCTGTTCCTCCTCCTCCTTCTTCCCTTCTCCTCGTCCTTCGGAATGAGTCGAGGAGGAGCAGGGGGAGGGGGGGAGCAGGAGGAAGAGAAGGAGCATGAGTCTTTTGCCTGATATGCACGGCCCATCTGGGCCCTCTTTGTGCTGCTGGAGAATAAACGCTTGAACATCGGTGTCAGATTTCAGGTGCTTTGCTTTAGTCTCTCAGCTCTCGCTGGCCCCCGCCCTCCCCTTGAGTTTGTAGGATAAGGTGTGCTTCCAACCAGGGCAAGTTCAGACAGGGTACTGAAGGGGAGCGCGGCTGAAAATCAACCTCCTCCCTGTTGTGCTGCTGCGCTGGCACGGTGGCGGGGCTTGCCTCCGGCAGCTGGATTTTTGATATAGTCTACAGCCGCGGTTGCAAAGACACCCAGCAAGACGCCTGCAAACACCCAAGCGACGACCTGCCATATAATCCGGAAAGCACCCGCAACGCAGTCGGACACCACTGTGATTTGCATGCGGGCATCCTCTGGGTAACCATCGCAAACGAAACAAATGCGCTCGCCCTTGTCGTCACTGTCGATTTTGACTTTGCACCCACGATCGCATATTTCCAGTATCTGGACTCCAGATTTGGTTATATTTGCTTCGGGGCTGAACGTGTGATCTGTCTGCAGGAGCTGTAATGGCTTGGCTTCGGCGCGCCACGAAAAGCTGATCACCTGGCCAGACAACACCCGAAGCCGAGGCGGGTCAAACATGCGCTTTCCATTCTTGTCTGTATGCAGGCGCACGAAGTGGCTTGCAAAATCATTACCCAAATCATCCTCAATCTCAGGGGGCGGTGCCACGTCTGCTTTCTCCATGCCGGTCCTGCTCTCTACAATCTTGCCGCGGGTTGCCACCTTCACCACCATGACACTGCCAATGTACAAGGACCCAGCAGTGAAAACCGTCGTCCCTGGTTGGCGCAACTGGAAGGCCGTCTTGCACGACTTCCCCGACACGATGTAGTCCTTGAGAGGGACAACGGACTGCACAAGCATAGACTCTTGATGGCCCGCGCGAATATATTGGATCGGCGCTGGACCACCCTGCCTGGCGCGCTGAGCGCGCCGAGGTCGGCGCTGGAGACGACGCCAGGTAGCCCACCACGGATCCGAAAAATCCGCGCGGAGTGCCGAAAGTTTGTGCTCATACAATATGTTCCTCTTCGACTCCTTCGGAACCAGGAGCGGCTCCTCGCTGCCGTCCGCTCTGCCCTCGAAACACACCGCCGCATGCGTCCAGCCCGCACAACCGCTCCTGCTAAGCCCCTCCCGCAGCCCCCGCAGCACCTGCCTCTCGGCGGCCTCCTCCGACCCCGCGGGCCTGGAGGCAGCGCTGGGGCCCGCCCCCTCGGGCGCTGCCTCGTGCACCGCCCCGTCCGCCTCGAGGGGCTTCGGCGCCCTGAGAGGCCTCGACAGCGGTGGGGGCAGGGGCATCGGCACGTCTTCGGCGCCCACGACCGCCTCCATCGCCCCCATTCCGTCCCATTCCACTGGCTCGTCCCTGCCGGGGCCGCCCGCCGCCTCGCCCCGCCCCGTGAGCCGGGCAGTGGGGGTGCAGCAGTCGTGCGCGTCGCACGAGGTCTGCGCCCCCATTGGGCCCCCGGCCCACGGCGGCACCAAAGGCCGCGCCGCCTGGGAAGGGCGGATCGAGAGAGAGAGAGAGAGAGATAAAAAAAAAGAGAAAGAGAGAGAGAGAGAGAGAGAAAAAAAGGCCCCCTCGCCAACACTTGAGCCAAGGCGGCCTCCTCGAGCCTAAACGGCTACGCCGATCGGCCACAATTAAGCGCGCTGTGGTACTTACCCCCATGAAGGGAGCCCATCGTATTGGCCATGCGTCGAGAAGGGTCTCAAAACCGATCGCCCCCCCGAAAGGGATTAGGAACATGTGACCTGGATCAATACTTAGAAGCTTTCGATACGCGCATGTATGATTAAACATTTAACCAGATCATTATGGACCACCGTACGGTCAATGAATGAATTCGCTAAAGACCAGCGGAAACGGATTTAATTATATACATATATATATATAAATGTATATATATATATACACACCTATACGACCGCCCTTCGGGTGATAAGGATGTTGTGGGGGGCAACCAACATCTGACTCAATCGATCTCACAATCGATCTCATTCAACGGGACACTACGGGACACCACGGGACACTTGTCGTTCTGACTATCGATATCACTATCGGTCTCACGTAACGGGACACCACGGGACACCACGGGCCACAACGGAACACCACGGGACACCGCGGGGCACCTCTCGATCTCACTATCGATGTCACTATCGATCTCACTCAGCGGAACACCATAGGACACCACGGGACACCTCGGGGCACCACATCGATCTCACTATCGATCTCACGGTCGATCTCACTATCGATCTCATTCAACGTGACACCACGGGACACGTCGGGGCACCTGTCGATCTCACTATCGATCTAACGATCGATCTCACCCAGCGGGACACCACGGGACACCACAGGACACCTCGGGCACCACATCGATCCCAGTATCGATCTCACTATCGATCTCATTCAACGGGACACCACGGGACACCGCGGGACACCTTGGGGCACCACATCGATCTCAACATCGATATCACTATCGATCTCACGATCGATCCCACTCAACAGGACACCACGGGACACCACGGGACACCAGCGGGACACCGCGGGCCACCAGCCGCCGGAGGAGGAACACTTGTTCCGGCCGCGGCCCATCCACGGGAGGATTTCGGGACACCAGCGGGACACTGGCGGGACACCGCGGGCCACCGGCCCGGCCGCCGGAGGAGAAACATTTGGTCCAATCACGGCCCAGCCACAGGAGGAGTCCTTCTCGCCCGCCCACGCAATTTCGCCTGGCCCGTGCGCGCGCACGGCACGCACGACACGAACCCGAAACCGAAATCGGTTTCCCGGTATGGGGGGGTATCCGTTTCACGTCGGAGTCACCCCCCAACCTCTGATACTCTAATTCTTATGTTTTTATTACCCGGACCCCCCCCCTAAACCGGACCCCCCCCCCCAGGGACGCCTTTTCGGACGTCTTAGCGGCCCCCTGGACGCCCTTGGAAAACGTCCGCTGGCCCTTCCGAACCCCCCTAGGCGCTTTGCCGGGCCTTGCGAGCAGACTCAAGGCGATCAGAGGGGTCATCGGAGACGCGCAAAAGAGACCCAAGACAGCATAAGAGCACCCTCATAGGAACCTCGATGGTCTGAAGACGGCCCAAGAGGCCCCCAAATCGCCTCAATAATCTGTTAAGAGAGCACCGGAAAAGCAAGCATCGTCTCATTCCCTCGCGAAAACGTATAAGCTTAACATACCTATACGACCACCCTTCGGGTGATAAGGAGGTTCGGGGGGGGGAACCAACGTCTCACTCGATCGGTCTCACTATCGATCTCAGTATCGATCTCACTATCGGTCTCGCTCGATCGATCTAACTCGATCGATCTCACTCGATCGATATCACTCGATCTATCTCATTCGATCGATCTCACAGTTGCTCTCACAATCGATTTCACAATCGATCACACAATCGATCTCGCACTCGGTCTGAATATCGATCTCCCGATCGATATCACAATCGCTCTCACAATCAACATCATCATCATCAACATCACCCACATCAACACCACCATCAACGTCAGCATCATCATCGGGACAACATCATCATCATCACCATCATCATCTCATCATCAACATCATCATCATCGGGACACAGTCATCGTCATCATCATCAGCAGCATCATCATAATCCGCCGACCCCTTGTGGGTCTCTAGGCGTGTGAGATAGTTCCCCCCCCTAACACCCCCCCCCCTGGGACCCCAAACCGAAGATTCGACCCCCCCCCCGGGCCCACGACGAGCGCGTCACGGGGCTCTTTTGGGCCCAAAAGGGGATCAAGACGGGCCAAGAAGGCCCCAAGACTCCTCCAAGACGGCTCACGAGAGCTCCGAGGCGCCAAACGAGCGCTCCCAGACGCCCAAGATGGCCCCATGACGAGCCTAGAGGCCTCCAAGACGGCCCAAGAGGCCTCCAAGAGCAGTCCTCAGAAGGGCCGAAGCGCCGAAAATCGTCAAATTCCTATTGGAAAACATACATTTAGATCATATACTACTTGTCGGCCTTCACGGCGTTGAAGACGGTCCCAGAGCACCCCAAGACCGCCCCAAGAGGCCCCCAAGAGGCGCCCAAGTCGGCCCAAGAGGGCGCCAAGACGGCCCAAGAGAAGAGGCCCCCAAGACAGCCCAAGAGGGCCCCAAGACGGCCCCAAGAGGTGCCCAAGAGGGGGAGCCCGAACCGACAATCCGAGCCTTCCGCCCCAAGACGGCCCCAGAAGGCCCCAAGAGGCCCCAAGAGGCCCCCAAGACGCCCACAAGAGGCCCCAAGAGGCCCCCAAAAGGTTCCAAAACGGCCTCAAAACGGCCCCCAGCAAGAAATATACGGGCCCCAATCCAACGCTTCCACCCTTTGGGCATCTCCAGAACGATGCCAAGATTGCATTAGCATCCTTTCTTTTCCGATGGGCCCCCCGGGGCCTCGAGATGACCCCAAGCGGATTCCACATGGCCCCAAGAGAGGTCATTATGGACCCCAACACGACTCCCCAGCCCGATTCAAGCGAGCCGGCAAGACCGCCAACATGAGGCGTCGGCGGATGTGGCGTAAGCCTATAGAATCATCCTCATAATCGGGACACCAACATGATCACCATCGTTCTCATCATCAACATTATCATCCACATTGTCATCATCCTCGGGACACTATCATCATGATCATCGCATCATCATCATCGACATCATCATCATCAACAACATCATCATCATTGGGGCACCATCACCATCATGAGCAACATCAACATCAACATCATCATTATCATTATTATCATTATCGGGACACCATCAGCATCACCATCATCACCATCATCATCAACATCATCATCGGGACACCATAATCATCATCAACATCATCATCAACATCATTATCGCCGGGACACCATTTCCATCAACATCATCATCACCAACATCATCGGAATCATCATCATCATCGGGACACCATCATCGTCATCATCATCAACATAATCACCATGAGCATCATCATCCTCATCATCGGGACACTATCATCATCATCATCATCGACACCATCATAAACATCATCATCATCATCATCTTCATCGGGACACCATCATCATCATCAGCATCATCATCTCATCTCATCATCAACATCATCATCATCATCATCATCATCATCCTCGCGGGACACCGGCGGGACACCGCGGGACACCAGCGGGACACCGGCGGGACACCGCGGGGCCCCAGCCGCCCGGAAGGGAGTCATTTGGTCCGGCCGCGCCTCAGCCACACGGGACACCAGCGGGACACCGGCGCGACACCGCGGGCCCCCGGCCGCCCGGAAGGGAGACATTTGGTCCGGCCGCGCCTCAGCCACAGGAGACTTTCTCTCGCCCGCCCACGCAGCTTCGCCTCGCCCGCACGGCGCGCACGAACACGAAACCGAAATCGATTTCCCGGTAGGGGGGCTCTCCGTTCTACTTCGATCTCACCCCCCAACCTCCGATCCGCTGTTTGGGATTTCGCTGCGTCCAAGACGGCCCGATGGGCCCCCGATATCGCCCCAAGAGGCCCCCCAGAAGTGTGAAGACGACCCAAGAGAACCCCAAGACTGCCCCAGAGAGCCCCGAAACTGCCCGCAAAAAGCCCAAGATGCCCCCAGGAGGCCTCCAAGAAAGACCAACGAAGACAATTGGAAACCCCCAAGAAAACCACTGGAGGCCCCCAAAAGGGCCCTAGATGGCTTGAGAAGGCCTTTGGAAGGCCCCAGCCCCCCAATACGGCCCAACAAGGCCCCGGGACGGCCCAAGAGGGCACCACCCACGACGGCCCAAAAGAGCCCCAAAAACGCCCAGACGGTGTCTTCCTACGAAGTACATCGGTTTAAGTTCCTCGATCGAAAGAGACAGGTAATGGGTCTAGATTCGAAATTCGACGACCAGAGATTTCCTGAGTGCCTGGGGCCCTCCAGGCATTCAGGAAACTAGCAACAATCGGTTTGTTCGGAGCTCCTGCGACCTCTTCGGCATGTCATGGGAACGCGCGTCACTTCCTCAAAAAAACATCATTCCTTCCCCACTCCTGCGCACAAGCGTGCAAGCGCATCGGGCGAACGCGGTGTCAACAGGCACCAATGATATCAGAAAAATGAGCTGGTCGCCAGTCCAGGCTTCGAGGTCCCCCCCGCTGAAGCAACGGATCACTTATTGTTTTGCCAGGGAGGGTCTGAAACAAAGCGCATGGCACGAAGCGCCAATGCAGTCTTGTATATATACCTATACGACCACCCTGCGGGTGATAAGGAACGTGGGAGGGGGGGGGGGGCCAGCAATGGGCAATCATCATCACCATCATGGCCATCATCATCAACGTCGTCATCATCAGCACAATCATCATCACCATCATGGCCATCATCACCATCAGCATCGCACAATCGATCTCACATTCGGTCTCACTATCGATATCACAATCGATCTCACAATCGACGTCATCATCATCATCATCATCAACATCATCATCATCAACGACACCTACCTCATCATCATCGCCATCATCAACATCATCATCATCATCATCATCATCATCATCATCATCATTACCATCATCATCATCATTACCATCATCATCATAACCATCATCATCATCATAATCATCCACGTCATCATCGGGACACCGACGGGACGCCGAAGGGACACCAGCGGGACACCGGCGGGACACCGCGCGGCACCGGCCGCCCGGTCAAGGTTCTTTTGCCCCGGCCGCGCCTCAACCACACGGGACACCAGCGGGACACCGGCGGGACACCGCGGGGCACCGGCCGCCCGGTCAAGGTTCTTTTGCTCCGGCCGCGCCTCAACCACAGGAGACTTTCTCTCGCCCGCCCACGCAGCTTCGCCTCGCCCGCACGGCACGCACGAACACGAAACCGAAATCGATTTCCCGGTAGGGGGCTCTCCGTTTCACTTCGATCTCACCCCCCAACCTCCGATACATATATATATATATAGGTCCCAGCACGCACCATGACCCCCCCTTTTCTCTTGGAAGATGCCAAGAGAAAAGGGGGGCGGAAGGCGCGCGCTGCAAACGTAAAGGAAGAAGTGTGGCAGAAAAGTTGGTTGTGTGATGGAGAAGACAGGTGTGGAGTATCGGGTGGAGGGTTGGGGACGGAGGGTGCGGGGTACCGGAAGGTATGTAGGAGACGGAGGGGCTCGAGTAGAAGGTTATTCTCAAGTTCAGCTTGGGGAGGGAGCCTGTTGAGTATCGGGTGGTGTGTTGGAGACGGAGGGTGTTGACGGAGGGAGTTCAGTAGAAAGGCATTTTCAAGTTCAGCTTGGGGAGGGAGCCTGTTGAGTATCGGGTGGTGTGTTGGAGACGGAGGGTGTTGAGTACTGGATGGTGTGTTGGAGACGGAGGGGCTTGAGTAGAAGGTTATTTTCAAGTTCAGCTTGGGGAGGGAGCCTGTTGAGTATCTGGTGGTGTGTTGGTGACGGAGGGTGGTGAGTACTGGATGGTGTCTTGGAGACGGAGGGAGTTGAGTAGAGGGTTATTTTCAAGTTCAGCTCGGGGCGGGAGCCTGCTGAGTACTGGATGGTGTGTAGGAGACGGAGGGAGTTGAGTAGAAGGGCATTTTCAAATTCAGTTTGGGGAGGGAGCCTGTTGAGTATCGGGTGGTGTGTTGGAGACGAAGGGCGTTGACTAGAAGGTTAGTTTCAAGTTCAGCTTGGAGAGGGAGCCTGTTGAATATCGGGTGGTGTGTTGGAGACGGAGGGTGTTGAGTACTGGATGGTGTGTAGGAGACGGAGGGAGTTCAGTAGAAGGGTATTTTCAAGTTCGGCTTGGGGAGGGAGCCTGTTGAGTACTGGATGGTGTGTAGGAGACGGAGGGAGTTGAGTAGAAGGGCATGTTCAAATTCAGCTTGGGGAGGGAGCCTGTTGAGTATCGGGTGGTGTGTTGGAGACGGAGGGTGTTGACTAGAAGGTTAGTTCCAAGTTCAGCTTGGGGAGGGAGCCTGTTGAGTATCGGGTGGTGTTGGAGACGGAGGGTGTTGAGTACTGGATGGTGTGTTGGAGACGGAGGGGCTTGAGTAGAAGGTTATTTTCAAGTTCAGCTTGGGGAGGGAGCCTGTTGAGTATCTGGTGGTGTGTTGGAGACGGAGGGTATTGAGTACTGGATGGTGTGTTGGAGACGGAGGGAGTTGAGTAGAAGGTTATTGTCAAGTTCGAAATGAGTTGAGAAAGTCTTCCAAACATGAGCCTCAAAATGAAGTCCGAAAATCGTAGAAATCAAATACGAATTCAAATATAATCTTGAGAAAGGGGGGGTTCTTGGTGCGTGCGGAGGGCTATACACACATACATACATACACACACATACATACATACATACATACATACATACATACCATACATACATACATGCACACATACATACACACATACATACATACATACATACATACATACATACATACATACATACACACATACATACATACATACATACATACACACACATACATACATACATACATACATACATGCATGCATGCATGCATGCATACATACATACATACATACATACGTACACACGTACATACATACATACGTACATACGCACATACGTACATACGTACATACATACATGTATACATACATATACACATACATACATACATACATACAAACATACATACATACATAATCCATGCATGCATGCATGCATGCATGCATACATACATACATACCATACATAGATACATACATAGATACATAGATACATACATACATAGATGTTTATATATACAGTGTGTGCGTATGTATGTATTTTGGTGGGCGGATGGATGGCTGCATCTATACGTAGCACCCCACAGTCGCGGATGACACCAAGAGGGCCCCAAGATTGTCCCAGAGAGCCCCGCGGCTGCCCGCAAGAAGCCCAAGATGCCCCCAGAAGGCTCTCAAGAGAGACCAACGAAAACCATGGGAGACCCCCAAGAAGGCCACTGGAGGCCCCCCCAAAGGGCCCGAGATGGTTTCTGAAGACCTCTGGGGGGCCCCAGCTCCCGAAGACGGCCCAACAAGGCCCCTGGACGGCCCAACCAAGAGGGCCACAGAACGGCCCAAAAGAGCCCCAAAAACACCCAGACGGTGTCTTCCTACGAAGTACATCCAGCTCTTCGCATGCAGGTTCTTCAAGAGCCGAATGGTCTTCTCAGGGACGCCCCATTGCTGCATGAGCGGACCGTGAACCGAGACGAACTTGAAGAACCACTCGGCCTGTGCATCGGACAGACCAAGCGACTGTAAATACTCAAGGGGGCTGGTGACATCGTGAGGGATGCCGAGGACCAGCTCGCGTATGACGCGATCGAAAGCCTTGGACAAGTCAACCCACAAAATGAAATGGCGGAAACCATGCAGCTTACAGTAGTCGATGCAGCTCAACACGACGTGGCTGGCCAGATCGGTACCTCGGCCAGAGACAGCTCCATATTGCGATGGAGGCATGTGCTGTTCGTAGTGGTCGCTGACCTCGTCATACAACGCGTTCTTGTACGCCTTACTCATGTGGTTGTCCAAGTTGATGCCACGATACTCGTCGCAAATGTCCATTGGCCCCTTGTGCTTGTGCACTTCGCAAATCTTGCTGCCAGTCCACTGGGTGGGTCAATCTTCGGTTGCCGTCACGTGGCGAAAGACATGGCTGAGCTTGACGGCCAAAGCCGAACCGCCAGCTTTCAGGATCTCAGCGGACACCCCGTCTTTGCCCACGCCGCGATTGTTGGGCAGAGCGGCAATGGCCTGGCGCGTAATCTCGGGGTCTACGCTCGGGCCAGGGCCATCGACTGGGGCGGCAACCGGAATCTTCTGCAGCTCGTCCATCGTCAGAGGCGTGCCAGCGAACACATCAGTGAAGTGATCAAGCCAGCGCTGCTGCCGCTCCAGCTCGGACGAGGTCAGGCGGCCGTCGGACTTCACGACATGGGCGGGCTGCCTGGACTGGCACCGACCCCCCAAGGCACGAACTATGGCATTCGTACTGCGCGAGTCTCCGCGCACGCCGCCTGCGCTTCCGCCACCTTGCCCTGGGTGAAAGCGATCCGATCAGCCTTCACAGACGGCTTAATCTTCTGCTGGAGGCGAGCGGCCGCCGCCCAGAGCGCACTGGAGATCAGCCGGAGCTTGAACGCGCGTCTGCGGGCCTCCGACAGAGCGCAAGCGGCGCGCCAGCCGAGACGGCCAGCCATTCCCGGCTGGAGAGGGTCGAACTCCTGATGGACCTGGCCAGCCCAGGCGCACAGCTCAGCTCGGAGATGAGCACGATGTGCCACCGGCCGCACGGTGCTGGCCAGACGCCGGAGCGGCGCCAATCGGCGCACAGTGGCCCAAGTCGTGGCGGTGATCCACGGCTGCCGGGGGGTGTTCTTGAAGGAGCCGAAGGGTATATATATATGTATATACATATATATATATGTATATATATATATAGATATATATACATATCTATATATATATATATATATATATATATATATATATATATATATATATATATATCCGCCGGCCCCGTTGTGGGGCCACCAGGCTGTAGGCCGAAGGTTCGCAGATTCCTGTGCCAGTTGCAGCTTCCAGTTTCCACTGTTACAGTTCTGCTTCTTGATGCTTACTGTTCCTTGTTGATGGACCGCACAAAGGGGAGGAAGCCCAAAACGGGCATTTTTTACTACGCCCTGAGCGTGTTGACTGAATTGCTGAGGTGGGACAAAAACTGACACCCCTCACGCAGATCGGCGGGGTCAGGGTCCAAAAACACATGGGATTTGCCACATTTCTGAAATTCGGTGACACCCGTCACGCATATCGGCGGGGTCAGGGTCTAAAAACACATGGGATTTGCCGCATTTCTGAAATTTGCTGGCACCCCTCACGCAGATCGGCGAGGTCAGGGTCCAAAATCACAAAGGATTTGCCACATTTCTGACATTCGGTGGCACCCGTCACACAGATCGGTGGGTTCAGGATCCCAAAACACATCGGATTTCCAACATTTCTAAAATTCGGTGGCACCCCTCACGCAGATCAGCGGGGTCAGGGTCCAAAAACACATGGGATTTTACATATTTCTGACACTTGCTGGCACCCCTCATGCAGATCGGCGGGGTCAGGGTCCAACAACAGAGAGGATCTGTAACATTTTCGACATTCGGTAGCACCCATCACGCAGATCAGCGGGGTCAGGGTGCAAAAACACATGGGAGTTGCCGCATTTCTGAAATTTGCTGGCACCCCTCACGCAGATCGGCGGGATCAGGGTCCAAAAACACATGGGATTTGCCACTCGTCTGACATTCGGTGCACCCCTCACGCAGATCGGCGGGGTCATGGCGCAAGAAAACACATTGAATTTGCTGCATTTCTGAAATTTGCTGGCACCCCTCACGCAGATCGGCGGGGTCAGGGTCCAAAGACACATGGGATTTGCAACATTTCAAAAATCCGGTGGCGCCCCTCACGCATACCGGCGGGGTCAGGGTCCAAAAAGCATATGGGATTTGCAACATTTCTGACATTCGGTAGCAGCCCTCATGCAGATCGGCAGGGTCAGGGTCCAAAAACACAAGGGATTTGCCACATGTCTGACGTTCGGTGACACCCCTCACGCAGATCGGCGGGGTCATGGTGCAACAAAAACAAATGGGATTTACTACCTTTCTGAAATCCAGTGGCACCCCTCACGCAGATCGGCGGGGTCAGGGTCCAAAAACACATGGGATTTGCCACATTCTTCGAATTCGGTGGCACCCCTCACGCATACCGGCGGGGTCAGGGTCTAAAAACACATGGGATGTGCTATATCTTTAAAATTCGGCGGCACCCCTCACGCACATCGGCAGGGTCAAGGTCCAAAAACACAGGGGATGTGTCACATCTCTGGAAATCGGCGGCACCTCTCAAGAAGATCCGTAGGGTAAGGGTCCAAAACGCAAGTCCAAAACATAAGGGTCAAGGCCCAAAAATTCGTGGCACCCGTGACGCCGATCCGTAAGTCCCGACACTGCTTCACGGCGGCGCCCAGACCTCATGATTTAGCTATTGCATCGCCCATTATCCGAGACAGGGGGCTGGGGGCATGGGGCGAAACCCCTACGCATATATATATATATATATATATATATAGATATGTGTGTGTGTACTTCCAAACTTCCGTGGCCAGGGAAACTACAATCCGACCCGCGTCCTGAAACCTGCCAGAGCTCTAGAGGGCCTCCATCGTCCTTTTCGCTGGGACCGTGGGCGACTATACGTCGCGCATTAATATGAAAGGACATGTTTGCACGGACGCATTTGCCAAAACGAGTCCGCGAGTGCGACCTCATACCACGATCCCAAAACAAATGCCGCAGGAAATACGACATGCGCCAGCGAGAGCACGGCGCTAAAACGCGGGTGGTGGGGGGGCGCAGGGGGAGCAGGAACAAACAACTGGAGCATATATGAGCGATGGATCGCAACAAACCTGGCCACGACACGCGCTGCAGAGAGGCATCAGCGATTGCTGCAATCTATACATTCCGAACCTCCGTGGCAAAGGGAACTACAATCCGACCCACGTCCTGGGACCTGCCAGAACTCTAGTAGGGCCTCCATCGCTCTTTTTGATGGGGCCGCAGGCAACCAGGCGCCGCGCGTTGATCTGAAAGCGAGTCCACGAGTGCGAACTCAGAGCACCATCTCGAAACAATTGCAATATACCTGGCATTCGTCCGAAGGCCTGGCTGACGAAGGGCAGAGGGCAAACGATTAGGGAGAGCGGGCGAGGCGGCCGCGGCAGCGCGTCGGTCGCCGGCCGTCAGCTTCTGAAACACGGCATGCAGACGGTCGTGTTCTCATATCGTGACACACTGCAATATCTGCCCCTTTGCCTCGGCGACGCACCTCCTCGAGCGCGCGACCTTCTGCGCGCCCCTCCTTCGAGGGCCCGCCGCGACGCCAGCGGCGGAGGGGCTGTCCGAGGCGGGAGTTGCCAAGGCTGCCAGCCGATTCTCAAAACAAACAAACATTCACGAGGGCCGAAAGGGAAAGTGCAATGATCGCTCTGAAGGCGTCGATGGACAAGCGCCACAGCCTTCGCGATCCGTTCGCGACTGCGGACATCGCCTATTACGATGCTATCATCATTGGCTCTGGTCGTAGAGGGCCGACCCCGCTCAGGAGGAGACAGTCGCAGGCACCGGCGATCGTAGCACTGGTGAACCGCCGAGGCCGGTGGCGCGACGTTGGAGTGGCGGAGGCTCGCGGCCCGCGCCTGGTCGCAAGTAGCAGTCGAAGCAAAGGGCGACCAGGATGGCGGCGAGCGGCAGCCCATGCTGGAGCATGTCGTCCGCGATCCCACAGGCCAGCTCCAGCGGCGCTGAGTCGCGCGCCCCGCCCGGCTCGAGGTTGCGCCAGCCCGCCTGCGCAGCGCGGCACGTAGCCGCGCAAGGCGGAGCGGGCCGCGCTCTGCGGCCCCCCGCTCAGGCAAAGCTGCTCCGCGCACCCTTCCAGCGCCTGATCGACGCGGGGGGGGGCGCCCAGAGGCAGCCCGGCGCGGCGAGCGAAGGCGATGAACTTGTCATTCCCCTCGGAGTAGGCACGCCGAGCTCCTGCTGAGCGATTGGCGCGAGCCCTGAGAAAAGCTGGGCCGCTCTCAGCGCCGACCCGCTGAGCGCGGACAGCGGCAAGACGGCCCCGCGCCCCGGGCGGCTGTCGCCCTGGCCCAGGGCGAGGCCCAGCGGCGGTCGAAGCGCTCGAGCTCGCAGGTCGGGCGTTGGAGACCGGCCCGAACGACTTCGCGCAGCTCATCTTGCCGGGCATCGGACAGCGGCGCCAATGCAAGGGCGCGCTCGGCCCCGCGCGGGGCAGCTCGGCGAGCCGCCCAGGCCCAGGCTCGGCACAAGGATGGAGAGTACGCCACGGCAAGACTGGCTTGCCACTTCCACTCCTGACGACCGTCTCGGGCCATTAACTTCACCTTGCCCTGTGGGATCTCGTGGGGCCCCGAACCTGCGCGCTTCAGACTTAGACTCTCAAGGGCTTCGCAAGTAGCAGCAAGAAGCGCGGGCTTCTGGCGAGAGCAGCCGTGGCGGCAACAATGATATGCAACCAACGAGACATCAACATACTTTAGAGCCTTCTGGATATCGGGCCACCCGAAGAGGCTGGAGGTCTCGGGGATCCCGAAGGAGAAGTGGATCTTCATGTCGGAGCAGAGCATGATGAGCTTAGCAGCGAACCGAACGCGCCCCCGAGGCACCCTGGCCGAAGACCGCGAAGGCCGAGACTTACGCGCGATGCTCCACGGGGTACATGGGGCCCCAAGGTGTAGATGCCAGATCCGGCCCTCTCGGAGCCACTTGATCACCGCGTCCTGGACCCGGCGCTTCCCGAGGTCGAGCTCCGGCCCCTCCGCGAAATCGAACGGCGCGGCCACCCTGGGGCCTATCTCCGCAGGCCCCGAAGACAGCGCCCCACAGACCGAGCGCAGCTGCAGGAAGGCAGGCGCGAAGCGTCTCGATGTAGAGGGCGGTGCTGATGGAGGGGGCGGAGGTAGCTGTGCATGAGGCTTCCCGCCTGGCGAAGGACCAGACGGGACATTTTCCTTTCGCTGATCGAAGGGGGGATCTCCTGCAAGTGGCATTGATCCCCGATGCCGGGGCCAGCGATCAGCAACGGGCGCAACTGCCTGGAGCCGGCGAGAGAAAGAAGACGAGGCCGTGCATCGCGGTCGACCCGACGAGGTTGTGGCAAAGGTTTTGCATCTCTCGTCGACGAATGACCCTGGCCCCTCGTCTGCTGGGTTTTGCTCGGACTCGATGTAACGGGGCCTCAGGTCTATGCCGCAACCGATTGAATAAGCGGCACACCTGCGGGCTAAGGCAAGCAAGCCGAAATCGCTAGCTCGGCCCTTCTCGAGAAAGCATAATGAAGAGAGGTTGTCAGATAGCACCAGAAGTCGCCGCCCATGTCCTGAGCGACGACGAGGTTCTCTGCGAAGAGCACTCAAGTTCACCCCCCTCCATCACGTGGATCGCCTGGCCCAGCTCCCACCTCCCTTCGAAGAGAGCGCGCCAACGATCGGGCTCTGCGACTCCATCTGGAAGGACCGGGGCCATGCCCGCAGCATTCTTTTGTTCGAGCTGTCTACGTTCTGTGCCTTGTAGTCTACTTGCCCCAAGACGCGTTCCCCCCGACGCCAGCGCTTCCAAAGACGGAGAAGCTAGCCCAGCAGACTCCAGAAGCCACCGTGAATATGATGTATCAGGCACCTCCAGATCAGCAGACCAGACAGGGTTCGGGGGCGGCAGGACTCCCGACGACCTCAATGCATACCCACGAACTCCCTCCACCTCCACGAACCTCCAGCGCTCCTTCCACCTGGTAGCTT